GCTGTTTGTTTTCAAGGTGCCACTTAGCTTTGAAAACATGTAGCTAATATTTTGCCTGTGGTACCCAACAGGCAGGTGTAAGAGCAAACATTTCTCAGGTTTTAAAAATAGTAGTATAATATAAACTTGGAAGGCAAGTCCTAACATACCAAAAGCCACAGATCAGGAGACTCTATTTAAAATAGAACTTCCTTGGCGCTGAAGAGGCCTCAAACAAACCATTGTGCAAAATCAGATTCAAGGCTTCCCGGAGATCCTCATATGATTGTCCGCTCTGCCAAGTGCTTTCCTTTGAAAACACAAGACGACTAAAAGAGAAGTGTATTTTGCCAAAAAATTATATATACATAAATATCATTCCGACAACTTTTAGGCTTATAAAAAAAAAAAGCTTATGCTTGTCAAAGTGTTACACATTTGGTCTTCCCACCACCCTGGGAGATGGGTGAGGTACCTGGCACTCACAGATGAGAAATTAAGATGGTAGGATCGCCTTAGATGGCCGCATGCAGCTCCCTGCACAAGGGCTGCCTGCACTGGGGCTGCAGCTGCCTAGAGGAAGGAGCACCTTTTTGTAATTTGCATAAACAGACCCTTTACTTTCCCCTGGCCCTGTTCCTATGAGTTTGTGGAATAAAACCCCTAGGTGTTGCCTCTTTCTAATACACACAAGGGCACAGCATAGGAAGGTGCAACTGTTTCCTGAGGCCACCTGAAAACTGCTTTTAACGGGGACAGCACAATGACTTGAGTCCAGGTCTACTGACTTCCGGTTCATGACTCTGTGGTAGGCAGCTGGACAGACATGAGCAGAGCAAGGATAATGGGCCAGAAATAGAAGGTCATCAGGGCAGAAAACAAGGAACCCCCCCCTTTTCTCCTCCCCACTTCTCTCCTCCTTCCCGCTCCCCCCCCCCCCGAAACTTTGAATCTTTCCTTCCCAGGATATTGCTGATCATGTGGGTTAGACCCCCTGACTTTTCCTACCGCTGGTCATGAGGTTCAGACCTTCCCCTGACCTTTCCGCCCCTGACATGTCGCTAGTCATGAGGGTTAGACCCCTTTAGAGGGGGATGAACAAGGGGGCCAGAGAACAGCTCTTAAGCATTGAGCCCCCAGGGCAATGAGGTTCTGACCCGCATCAAAGACATCTAGGCTTTAGTTGTGTTTGGGATCCGGACCCAGAAAAGCAGCAAAACCAGACAAGCGCACCACAGCTGACCTCAGGACCAGCAGCACTGACTGACAAATGACCCCTGCCTTGCACCAAATAATCAGTGGGACCACAACCCTGAAAAGACACACTTCAAAAGCTCTATTAAGATCCTCTCTGAGACCTCCCCTAAAATCCGGCTCTTAGGACAGAGGACCTTTCCCCTCCCCATCCTCCTCCTCTGCCCCCACACCCTCAGCAACATTAATTACCTTTACCCTTCTCTCTCCTAAGATCCAAGAGCCCCTACTTTTACCTCTGTAACTTGTTTCCTGAGCCCATTGCTTCTACCACTCATTTCTTCTACCTCTGTGACTTCCTTAATAAACTTATTCTTATGGTTTGAGTCTTGGCTGTGAATTCTTTCCTAGCCAGAACTCAAGTACTGAGGTTGCTGAACCAAGGTCCAGTCTGACCCCACGGGTCTAATCTCACTGGTCTAACACCTGGTGTCACGCTCACCACTGCCAACAGCTGTAAATAATATAAGATGAAGATTCTCACAGCCATTTGGATTTACCGATGTCTCAGAAATAGTCACACAGCCCTTCCCAGGGATCTGTGAGGATTGCTTTCGAATAGAAACAATGGAAGTGTCATGTTGTCCATAGCGTTGACACTGTCCCATCACCAGGCCTTTTCTGCAAAAGTTCTCCTTCCTTTTCCCTGCCCCTACCTTCCAAGATGTCCTCCTCAGTCTTCATTTACTATGTGCCAGGCAGTTTGCTAAGTATTTTATAAGAATTCTAGGTCCTAACCGAATGCAGATATAAGTGACCTCAGCTTACATCACGTGGCACACAAAAACCTCTCAGCTGAGCTCAGTCAACCACAGAATCGTGAGAATCCTATCATTGGTTTAAGCCTCTAAATAATAGGGGTGATTTGTTACACTGCAGCAGGTAACTGAATCGCTGTATTCTCTCACCCTATCACACAGCAAAGCCATACCCTTATAGCGGGCACCAAAAGCCCACCAGATGAATAAACCATCAGAGAAGACTGTGGACAAAAGGAAACTGAGATAGAGAACAAAGCAGAGTTGATTTTACCCCCTCAGTACAATCAGTTCTCTGTATCCAACCAACCATGGATTGAACATAGTTGGGGGTGGGGCGGGGAGAAAGCACAGGATATTCCAATAAGCAAAACTTGAATTTGCCATGCAATGAGCACTACGTTGAATCCACACAAAAGAAGTTATGTATAGGCACACCCTACTGTAGCCTATATGCAAACACAGATTATGGGCAAATGCTACACCATTTTATATATGAGACTTGAGTATCCTTGGATTTTTTGGTATCTGAGGGGGTCCTGAAACCAATCCCAAAGGATACTGAGGGGCGACTATAATCATCTGTGTTCTTCCTGGGTGCAAGCAGCACAGACTGGTGATCAGGGTTGTGGGTTTTGGATTCAGAAATGTTGAAATCCTGGCTCTCCCATCTGCTAGCTCTGGGAACTTGGAAAAGGTGCTTAAACTTCTCCAAACCACAATTTTCCCAGAGTGTGAAATGGAAGGCAATCACAATGACCTCCTGAAGCTGCTGGGAGAAGTAAACATGATAATGCGTGAAAGCACGTCCTCCCCTCTCCCTTCTCGCCTGGAAATTCCTGTTCTTGCTTCAGCCAGTATTTTGCAAATGCCACTCTTTCTAGGAAGCATTTCCTTATGGCCACTCGGATTCAGCAGGCCTCCACGAACTTTCCCTGTAAAAATACGCGTCATGAACTGACTCTGTGTTTGTTTTGTTAATCATTTATTAACATCACTCTCACCGATGAGAAGCCATCAGTTCCACAGAGCCTAGCACACAGAATTTCTAAACATTCAATGAAGATGGAGAGAGAAAAGAAAAAATTTAGCCCAGAATCTTGACGCACGCCAAGTACTTTAAATGAGCCCAGCATTGTGCTATGTGCTTCTGTAAAAGCACGCACTGCTGAAGCTTATCCTATATAATAAAAGCCTAATATGCAAATTGACCAAATGGCTATAATGCACACTGGCCACCTGGGAGCAGATGTTCAATGCAGGAGCTGCCCCCAGCCTGCAGGCCCCAGGCCAGCCAAGGTGGGTGCCAATGGCGACGGTGGGTGGAGCCGGCGAGCGGGCAGCACCAGACAGGCCAACGCGGGTGCCAACAGGGGGCTCCCCACAAATGCCCTGCTGGTCACCTCTCAGATCAGCCCTGATTGCCAGTCAGGCCTAGGGATCTACCATGTACGAATTTCATGCACTGGGCCTCTAGTGGTCTAATGAGGGTAAAAGGTATGCGCAGAAGTAACTAACTCTGTGGAAGATGGCCAAAGTGCCCCTCCAGTTCGGACAAGACAGAGATCACTTCCTGATGAGGACAATCCAGAAAGGCTTTCCAACGAGCAGTGGCATTAGAGAATCCACCCTCCAAGGTGCCGATCCTAACAACAAAAAAAGAGGTGTTCGCTACTTCTCTTTTGGATCCAGAAGCCTAGCCAAAGGCAAAGTCCACATCAGGCCACTAATTCGGGCTTCACTGATCATTCTTCCGACTTTTTTTACTGAACACCTAACAGGTGCCATGGACAAGCTGGCATCTCCCCCACCTCCCCAATCAGGCCTCCACAGTGACATGTTCACCAGCATCCTACTCACTCCTTTGTGACCTGGGCCCCCAACTTCATAATCTTCTCTAATAAAAGCCAGGTCTTATCACTAAAAAAAAAAAAAAAAAAAAAAAAAATGGCCACCTTCCTCCACCGGCATCCCCCTTAGCTTTGTTTCCAGGTAGCATATGGAGTGCAGTGCCCGGCGGCTGTTCTTAATGCACATTGGTGAGATCTTGCTTAAGAATGTGGAAGCTGAAGGGAAACCTGAGAGATCTGCTCAGTGTTTTAGATGCAGATACTGAGGCCGGCCGAGAAGACGACCTTTGACCGAGGTCAAGTGAACTCACGAAAGGTAAAGCCAGACTAGAGTCCAGGGCCACACCTCCAGCCCTGGGTGCTTTTGATTTTTCAAAGAAATTTCCCATCATCCTGTTTCAAGAAACCTGGGTCCTCCTCGGAGGAGCCCTTGGGATAAAGAGGGCCACAGTACTGAGGCCAGGGTGCTCCCTGACTGCAGCCCAAACAGAAGCAACAGTTTAGAGGCATGGGTCCCTGGAATAAGCACTTTGCATGAATTATCTCACCTGATTCCTCACAACCAACCGTGATACTATTGTCCCCACTTCACAGATTACAAAACTACCATTGTTGTCCCCATTTCACAGATTATGAAACCAAGGCACAGGCACGGTAAGCCAGCTGCCCCGAGTCCCACAGCTGTTTCATAAAGGAAGGTGGGCAGGCGATGGAAAGAATGCGGAGGAAACTGAGATGATGGCTTCCGTGACCCCTACCCCCTCGCTTTTAAGGGGTCCTCGAAAGACAACAAGTCCTACACAACAGAACTTGGGTTTCCTGTATCTCTCCCCGGAGGCCCCCCCCTCCCCTCGGTGGCAGCAGAGGGAACGTGAGGCCGCACACGGCGCCTTCCCTCCGGCCGGAGGGGGGAGCCTTCGAGGAAACCTTCGCCCGCGCCCAGCTCAGCCGGAGGCAGATCGCCGCTGGGGGGGAGACGGAAGGGGCACAAGAGGGGAGAGGGGGGGTAAAGAGGGCAGGAGGGGAGCAGAGAGGCCGGGGAGATGGGGCGCGGAGACGGGAGGGGGAGAGGGCGGCGGCAGAAGCGGGCGGCAGGCGCGCAGGCGGAGGAGGCGCGGGAGGAGAGCCGGGGCCCGGACCGGAGCCGCCGGGCGGGTACCTTTCGGAGGAAGCTGGCGACCACCTGCTCGAAGGGGTACTTGTACACCTGGTGCACCTCCACGGTGACCCCCATCCCCGCGCCCCCGCGCCCGCCACGCCTCCGCGAGCGCAGGGCCCCCCAGCTCCACCCGGACTGCAGGCCGCCACACGAGGGCGACCCAGGGGGCGTGGGGTTTTTTTCCTCCTCTTTCAAACTCTGAAACTTTATTGTCCTCCCGGAGAAACAGACAGGCGGTCAGGTCCCCGCCCTCTTCCGCCAACGTCCTCTGTGGGCCCTTGCACGCTTCAGTCCCACGGTCTGCGCATTGCAGTTTCCAGGCCCCGAGCTGCCCGCCAGGCCTCGGAGCCTTGGACTTTGGGACTTGTTTGTGCCTCTGTGTCATCGCTTGGTCTGGAGCCACAGCTGCGAACTGCTGATGGCGCCCCTGAAAAAGGAATAAACACGGTCAACAGCCATCCCCCGGGGCCTAGGAGCTGTAACCTAACCCTCCTTGTGAGCGCAGGGAGAACAGGGCCCAGGCAGCTGCCTCCCAGGCTGGACTTTGGGTCTCAAGTTTAGTAGCTGGCTCCAAAAATTCCTTTGCGTCTTAAAGGTTAAACACCACAGAGAAAAAACAACAAGGAGATAGAATTTTTCGTGTTCTTCCCTCGAACGGTGCGCATTGGATGAGAAGGAGCAAGTGATCCATTCATTCAGTAAGTTCTTCACCATACTAGGTACTGAGCACCTACTATGCACCACGCACTGTGGTAGCACTGGATTCAGCGGTAAATAAAGCACCGTCAGTAGGAGTGGTAAGCCCGGTGACTTAACCAATGAGCCAAATGGGAAAATAAACAGGATAATGCATTAAAGTTGCAGGAGCGGTAGGTAGTACACGATATTAGCTAGAATGCATAGGGAAGGTCTGTGAGGCGATGGCTTTTACATTTATAATTTGATCATCTCACTTGCCCCTGACACAGAATCACACTGGTGGCAAAAGCCTCACTCTTGAATAAAGCTGGCTGTCCAGTCACCCGCTGCTTCATCCAAGCTGCTGAACAAGGGAGATATACAGCCACTGCTATCAGGCCTCTGTTTTGTTTTGTTAATCCTCACCAGGGTATATTGTTTCCATTGCTTTTCAGAGAGAGTGCAAAGGAGGGAAGGAGGGGGGGAGAGGAGAGAGAGAGAAGGATAGAGAGAGATGTGAGAGAGACACATCAACTAGTTGCCTCCAGCACGCCCACATCACCACCACCACCAGGGGCGACCAGGGGTCGGGAGGGAATCTTGACAGAAATTGAACAGGAGACCCTGGGGTGTGCAGGCAAATGCTCTAACCACTTACCCACTCCAGCCAGGACAATCGGTTTTCTTTTGAATTCATACCTTCTAACCTGAAGGGGTCTTTAATGATGCCAGATCAAAACACTACATTTCTCTCATCCATTTAGTGTGCCACACTCCTCCCACTCTACCCTCCACCACTTCCCTCCCAGCCTTATTCTGGGGTGCTTACCTGGCTTCCTTTTTCACTTAAGAAATAGGAAACCTCTCTCTTCCGCATCTACCCACCCACGTGTCCAAATGCCCCGCCTTCTCTGCTGTTCTGGATGAACTATGGGCCCTGAACTGAGGGCCAGTCTCCCCACTTGTCCACTGAATCCAGCGATGAGTTGTTAAATAGTTCACAATCAGCTCTCAAGCCCCGGTTTCTAATGCTTATGATGTCTGTGGTGTGAATGCTCCCACTGTGGCTGATTTCAGACCACCCCAGTAAAGTCACTAAACATGGCATTTGGAAAGCAAGCACAGGACTGCACCATTGTGTGCCATTTCCACCATGCACAGACAACAGATAGAACCACAAGAACAGAGACGATGGTCAAGGTGGTGACATAATTAGGAAGGGATGGGTTTTGAATACCTATTACATTTTAAAATAGAGCTGTTACATTATAAATTTATAAAATTTAGTAATAGCTGTTCTTAACCGGCTGACAGGGTTCAGAACACAGTACCCCGAAATATGGCATCTTGGCATATTGAATATTTTAAGCTGAAGGAGTTTGAGAAAACAGCAGCCACGGAAAGTTCTCACTGACCTTCCCTCTCCCCAGAAGCAGGCCCTGAATCCCACGTGTGAGGAGCGCCCTCTCTCTACCTGGAGGGAAGGAGCATACCTGTCTCCAGGGGCAGGGTTCATGGGAAGAATTCGAACAAATAGGACTTACCACATATCCCCCAGTTCACTAATTTTACCTCATCTTCTCTGTGCTGTCATATTGCTACATTTCTCATCAAACCTAGCATTAAAACACCATTTTTACACATCTTTATTTCTTTATGAAGGCTCCCTGTCATATAAACCTTATGGTAAGTAAATGAACATGCTTTTCTCCTGTTTCTATGTCTTTGTCAGTTTAATTTTCAGACCCAGCCAGGAACCCTAAGAGGGACCAGAGAATTTTTTTTTTCTCCGCTGCATAGCAACACGGCATCACTGGAAGCTCCTTGTCCTCTTTCTTATTCAAGGACATCTTCCCAGGAATATCTCCCCCTCTGTCTTGCCTCCATCAGTTTTGCCTCTATTGGATCATTCCAAATAGCACACAAATATAGCATGATTTTTTCCATCTTAAATGCATCTGCTCTTAACCTCCTATCTTCCCCCAGCTCTATTCCAGTTCTCTGCTCTCGAACTCATGAAGTTTGGGCTCCTGCCACTCCACTGAAACTACTATTGTCAACATCACCAATTGCTAAATTGCTAAATCCAATAAAGTCATACACCACTAGAAGACAGGGTGTATGTTCTCAGAAATGCATCCTTAAGCAGTTTTGTTGTACAAACATCGTAGAATTCACATACACAATCCTAGATGCGATAACCTACTACATACCTGGACTATATGGCATTGCCTCTTGTCCTCAGGCTACCACCAGTATAAAACAACATAAGATTAAAATCAAGCACAAGAAAAACAATGCAATCAAGAGACGTGGTAAACGTGAGATACACAAACGTGAGATACTGCCAGAATTACACAGCATGCTGTTTTACAGCAAACTTATTTTATGTAACTGGAAAGCATACACTCTAACATAAGAATAAAAAGTATAGTCAAGCCCTAATGGGTTTGGCTCAGTAGATAGAGCATCAGCCTGCAGACTGAAGGGTCCCAGGTTGGATTCCGGTCAAAGGCATGTACCTTGGTTGCGGGCACATCCCCAGTAGGGGGTGTGCAGGAGGCAGCTGCTCGATATTTTTCTCTCATCGATGTTTCTAACTCTATCCCTCTAAAAATATATATATTTTTAAAGGTGGACTATTATTTAAAAAACAAGTATAGTCAATACACAAGCCAGTAACAGTCGATTATTATCATTGTCAAATATTATGTGCCATACATAATTGCATGTTATGCTTTTATAGGACTGGCAGTGTAATAGATTTGTTTATAATAGCATCACCACAAACACTGAGCAATGTGTTATGCTAAGATGTTTTGATGGTGAAGAATCACTGGGCAATAGGAATTTTTCGGCTCCATTATCATCTATGGGACCACCACTATAAATGCGGTCCATTGTTGACAGAAATGTTGTTAATGGGCACATGGCTGTAATTCATTCTTAAACCCACTTTACTAACCCTATGGGCAGTATGTCTTTGAAATACTGAATGAGGAGGGGGCCAAAGCCATTACATGTTGAATGTCTGTATAAAGCATTTCTATTATATCACCAACCTCTCCTTATGGTGGGGAGAAGAAGGAGAAGGAGGCAGGGGGATGGGTCTTCCTGAGGAGACAGCAAGGGGTTAAACAGGAAAGAGAATTCACTTGCATGAGTTTAAGGGGTCCCATGCCTAACTGCTACTCTCAGTGTTGGACACTGAGTGTGAAACAGAAACCCCCTGCCAAGCTGGGCCCTGTGCCCCTACTCCTGTCACCACTGATTTCTTCCAGAATGGGAAGCTGCTATCCAACTCCTAATTAACTGGCCACAAAATGCCAAGGGTGTGTCCTGCAAGATTAAAGGACCTAGCACCTGTTGGCTCTGCTTGGGCTGATTGGCCGAGCGACTTTTATAAGGACAAATGCCACTTACTCATTCCAAGGACATCAGGGCACTCTGACGGTGAAAATGTGTTGCATTTTGTGCCCACATTTCCCTGTTTTATAAGGACACCGATCATACTGAATTAACACCCACCCAGTTCTAGTCTCTGAATCCCACAAGTTGTCCTACTTCCTGCATTTCCCCTTGAATTTTCTGAGCTCCGCCAGGTCCTTCCATTAATTCCCCTTTTGTGCTTAACTTGAGTTGAGTTTTTTATTACTTTCTACTGAGACTCCTATCTAATATGATGTGGAAGAAAACTTTAGCTGTTATGAGTTCATGTGCCAGAGGAAAAAGAAAAAAAGGAAAAGAACCAATTTTTTGCCAGGTCTTTTATCCATTTCCAATCAACCCAGCTCCTGAGACCTTTGAAATTTGAGATGCCTTTAACATTTATGTTTTCGACTCTCTGTTTTTTTCTCATTTTACCTTGATTGCTTAGAAAGAATTTTATTCATTGTGTTTGCTTAGTAAAATTGCATCATCTAAGGCCAATTCCGCTCACAATATTAATATAAAAGGGAAAATTTTTCTTTGTAATAGCAGTAGCAATTAATGCATGCATTTTAAAATAATCTATTTCAGATATTTCCTATCTGGAAAGACCAATTTTAAAAGACTTATCTCACACCAGACTGAAGACTAGAAATGAGTGAGAGGCAATTGTGGCCATAACACAAAGACTAATGATAATGAAACCGAGGGCACACAGAGAGAATTTCAAATGGCATCTAAGTTAGAAAGGAAACGGGAATCATAGTCAGCCTCAATGTGAATAAATTTGCCAAGTGTTTTCCCATCCCACATTATTTTTCTAGGGGAAGAAAGTGGGAGCAGAAAGATAATGGAGGGTTGGAATGCATCCAGGGGAAGCAAAGAGAAGAGAAGGGACAGGGAAAGAAGCAACTGTGAAGGCACCAGGGCAAAGGAAGGGTAAGTTGAAGCACAAATAACAAACATCA